AAAGGAAGAATAAGAGAAAAACAATCATGTTGTGACTAAACTGCGAACTCTTAATTGGTAGCATCCTTTTTTCCAAACCTTTTTATACGTTGCAAGTTGCAAAAATCAGCGTCAAATATTTCAAAATTCTTGGTAAAGCATCTTCCAGAAAAGAGAGAATGATGGTTGAAGGCACAAACGGCAAGGAAGAAGAAGAGAAAAATAATCATGTTCTGACTAAACTGCAAACTCTTAATTGGTAGCATCCTTTTTTCCAAACCCTTTTAATTATACGTTGCAACTTGCAAAAATCAGCCTCAAATATTTCAAAATTCTTATTATCAAAAAAATATATATTTCAAAATTCTTGGTAAAGCATCTTCTTAGAAAAGAGAGAGAAAAATGGTTAAAGGCATGAAGGGCAAGGAAGAAGAAGAAGAGGAGAAAAACAAACATGTTCTGCTTTAAAGCCAAGAGGTCAACTACTCTTTTGACCTACTCTTTAATGAATCATATTATACTTTTGATAGGACATTGCCCATCACTTTCGTAACTTACTTCATAGAAATGATCGCATAATGAAAATTGAAGCTTTAGCATAGCGGATTCAGAAGAAGATTTTCTCTCTCCTCCTATATATATAGGACTCAAGACTAGGGGATAACCCACAATAGCATATAACTTATGCATAAACCTTCTTCAGTAGTTAAGTATGAATAGTTCTCTAAAGTTTTCTCTTCTTTTTTTCCATATTTTCTTGTTTTCCCTTCTTCCATTAAAGGTTACAGCTTCATTAAGAACACAAGCAGAAGCCCTTATACAATGGAAAAACAGCTTGTCTCTTTTACCACCTTCCTTAAATTCTTGGTCCACCAACAATATTGACAATCTCTGCAACTGGACTTCTATCACCTGTGACAACTCCATCAAAATGGTTTCTGAAATCAACCTTATGAATGCAAACATCACTGGAACATTAGCCCAATTTAGCCTCACCCCCTTTTCTAATTTGACCCGTTTTGACCTCCACAATAACAATCTTGTTGGATCAATACCACCAACCATTGGCAACCTATCCAAGCTCACTCACTTGGATTTGAGCAACAATGGCTTGGTAGCTATTGTGCCTGTGGAGATAGGGCAGTTGACGGAGCTTCAGTATCTCAGCCTATTCAACAACAGTCTCAACGGTAGCATCCCTTATCAAGTTAGTCATCTTCACAAGGTATGGTACTTAGACCTTGGATGGAATGACTTTACAACTCCTAATTGGTCCAAGTTCTTAGACATGCCTTTGTTGATTCACCTTAGATTGGCCAACAATGCACTAGAATCAGATTTCCCTCCTTTTATCACCAATTGTCAAAATCTCACTTTTCTAGACTTGTCATTCAATTCCTTGATTGGCCCAATACCAGAATTGGTGTTCACCAATCTAGTTAAGCTGAAGGTCTTCAATCTTAGTCATAATTCATTCCAGGCTCCACTGTCATTGAACATTTTCAAGCTTTCTAAACTTGTAGCTCTTCAACTAGGAGCTAACCAATTCATTGGTCCAATTCCTGAGAGTATAAGTCTCTTGTATGAGCTTGAAATTCTTGAATTGTATGAAAATGCTATATGGGGTACCATTCCATCTTCTATAGGTCAACTTAAGAAACTCAAGAAACTTGATCTTCATTCTAATTCCTTTAATTCTACCATTCCTTATGAGCTTGGTTCTTGTGCTAATCTCACCATTTTGGCCTTATCCAAGAATCAACTCACTGGTCAATTACCTTTATCCTTCTCCAATTTAGTTAGAATATCCTCTTTGGATTTGTCTGAAAATGTACTTTCTGGTCAAATCCCACCCTCTCTTATTGGCAATTGGACCCAGTTGATCTATTTACAGCTTCAACACAATAACTTTACTGGTAAGATTCCATCTGAAATTGGCTTATTGACAAAGCTGATGAGTCTCTTTCTGTATAAGAACAAGCTTTGTGATTCTATTCCCTTGGAGATAGGGAATTTAAAGGAACTTGTACAGTTGGATCTTTCAGAAAACCAACTTGTTGGCTTAATTCCTTTAGCTCTCTGGAGTCTTACAAACCTTCAACAGCTGCAACTTTTCGATAATAATCTTGTTGGAACAATCCCACCGGAGATTGAAAATATGGTGTCTTTGCAATTACTTGTTCTCAGCACAAACCAACTGTTTGGGGAATTGCCAGAGAACATTTCCAAGCTTATCAATTTAAATGAGATCTCTCTTTTGACCAATAATTTCTCAGGTAGTATCCCCAAAGATTTTGGCAAATATAGTCCCTTCTTGCGGTACGTTGGCTTCTCAAACAATAGCTTCTCTGGAGAACTCCCACGTGAGTTGTGTAGTGGCCTCCTCCTTGAAAATATCACTGTCAATGACAACAAGTTCACTGGCTCATTGCCAACTTGCCTTAAGAATTGTTCATTATTAAAAAGGGTCCGATTTGACGGGAACCAATTTACAGGTGACATCACAAATGCATTTGGGTTTCATCCAAGCCTAAATTTTATTTCTCTAAGTGACAATCAATTTACTGGTCAGATATCTCCACAATGGGGGGAATGCCAGAATCTCACCTATCTACAAATGAGCAAAAACAGAATTTCTGGTGAAATACCTATAGAGCTTGGTAAATTGAACCAATTGGCTGTTCTTAGTCTTGGCTCCAATGAGTTATCTGGGAATATTCCTGATGAACTGGGAAATTTAAGCATGTTGTTCAATTTAAGTTTGAGCAAGAATCATCTAACTGGAGAAATACCTCAAGATATAGGAGCTTTGCAGAATCTTGCATATCTTGATCTGTCAGAGAACAACTTGATTGGAAGTATCCCAAAAGAATTTGGGAATTTTGAAAAATTATTGAGAATGGATTTAAGCCATAACAATCTATCTGGTAGCATCCCACATGAGCTCGGAAATTTAATTTCAATTCAAATCACACTTGATCTAAGTAGCAATTCACTTTTGGGACCAATCCCACAAGATCTGTCAAAGCTTACATCATTAGAGAATCTTAATGTGTCACATAATCATCTCTCAGGCATGATTCCAGCAAGCTTATCTAGAATGATTAGTCTTTGCACATTTGATTTCTCTTATAATGAGTTGACAGGTCCAATCCCAACTGGAAAACAATTTCAAAATGCTTCTAGTGAAGCCTTTGTTGGAAACTTAGGTTTGTGTGGAAAGTTTGATGGACTAACCCCTTGTAGTTCGAGTTCTAGCAACAACAATTCCAACAAGATTAACACTAGGGTTCTTATTGTTGTCCTTGTTCCTATTTGTGTTCTTTTAGTTGTAATATCTATTGTTATGATTCTAATGCATCGTTGTCACAACAAACTACATGATGAGAAAGTTAAAAGAAGTAAAACATTTGGGAGTTTTGAGAGAATGATATGGGGAAGTGAAAGGACATTCACATTTAGTGAGATTGTAACAGCTACAGAAGATTTTGATGATAAGTACTGCATTGGAAAAGGAGGATTTGGAAGTGTTTACAAAGCCTTGTTGTCCAGAAATCAACTAGTTGCTGTTAAAAAACTCAATATGGCATACTCCAGTGATATTCCAGCTACAAATCTCCAGAGTTTTGAGAATGAGATTCGTGTTTTGACAGAAATTAGGCACCGGAACATCATCAAGCTACATGGATCATGTTCAACAAGGGGATGCATGTATTTGGTTTATGAGTTCATTGAGAGAGGAAGTTTGAAAAATGTACTATATGGAGTTGGAGAAGTGGAGCTGGGATGGGTTGCAAGGGTGAGAATTGTGAAAGGATTGGCTAATGCCCTTGCATATTTGCACCATGACTGCTTTCCCCCCATTGTTCATCGAGATATCTCTCTGAATAACGTCTTGCTTGAGTCAGAACTCGAACCAAAACTCTCAGATTTCGGCATAGCAAGGTTCCTAGATCCAAATTCTACCAACTGGACAACAATTGCTGGATCTTATGGTTACATGGCACCAGGTAAATCTGACATTTGATAGATTCATGTTGACTGATAACATTTCCTTAGCAAAAACATCTAACAAATTCTTCTCTTTTTCTTGTTTTTTGTTTTTTAGAGCTTGCACTCACAATGCAAGTGACAGACAAATGTGATGTTTATAGCTTTGGTGTGGTAACGTTAGAAGTTATGATGGGAAGGCATCCAGGGGAGCTTCTAAACTCTTTATCATCATCAACATTTTCATTAGATAACAAAGAAGTGCTTGTGCAAGATGTACTAGACCCTCGACTATCATCTCCCACTCACGAAATAGTGAAGGAGGTTGTCTTTGCCATCAAGATTGGCTTAGCTTGCTCACAGAGAGTGCCAGAGTTCCGACCCACCATGCGTTTTGTGGCACAAGAATTGTCAGCAAGAAAACAAGCCTCCTTGGCAAGACCTCTAGAGACAATAACCATTAGTAGGCTTATTACAGGCCCATTAGAAATAGAATGAAAGACTGTGATGAGGAATACGAAGGAAGAGTTATTTAGATTATTTAGGATTCATAAGTAATTATTTTTATTTGAGTGTGGTTAAATCATTGGCTATGTGTTTAATTTTAATTTCATACCTACATTATAAATAAAATTATGAGGTTATTCAAATACCAGTTGGGGAATTATTATCTCCTTGAAGAAAGTAAAGATCCTACAATATAATTCATAAAGTTAAAAACACAAATCTAATTAAAGAGATTATGCATAAAATTCTTGAATGTTTCAGTGGAAATCTAAATTCAATTGAAGAAATATATTCCATCAAACATAATAATAGCTATTAGAAAACATCAAATATCCTCAAGCTGCTCTTTCAAAAGCTACGATTCTTCCTCAACATGAAGATTAGGAGAGAGACAGGAAGAAGCTTTTAACTCATAATTGGTTCAATACAGAGTGGAATCTAAGTACAGAGTGGTTTGTCTTTAAATCCCATCACCAAGAAGCTTGATCTGAAATTGGTTGTGCACTTCTTGTGCCACCATTTTATTTTGTATCGTTTGATAGATGAGTGTTTTCATTTACTGAGTTGTCATTCCCATATTGGAGTGGGATACCACATCAACTTGTATCACCGTTGCACACTAGAATTTCTCCCTTATTGAACAAGCCACGTCATCAGGTCATCTAAAACTAACTTCGTAACTAACTCACTGGCTTGTTGCAAATTCAATACCCCTTTCTCCCTAATTTCTGTCAATGCTCGCATGACTTGATAAGGCTGTTGTGATTCAAAAGCAAAAATTGATACACTAAAATCACTAGCAAGTACACTACTTGCACAAAGTGACAAAGTGATGATTAAAGTTTCCAATTTACGAGAATTGTAATTAATTAAAAGCTAAAAATAATCAATCCTAGTTTTATTTGGGGTAATCTACTCCTATAGTCACTAAACTTAAACATAACTTTCATTTTAATCACTCACCTTTCAAATTTGTAAATTTAGTCACTAAACTTAGTTTTAAAATGAAACAATTGGTCCCTAATTCCCGTTAAGTTCTTTTATGGCGTGGTACTATGTAGACCAAGGTTATTAATACCATACTGTACCAATTGATACGGTCGATATGTACCAGTTTTCACATTAAACCAAAATGATATATGATTCAATTTTGTTTCGATCAAATTTTACTTGTTTCGGTCAAGTTTTGGTGTACCGGCCGGTATTTCGGCGAATCAAAAGTGCTTGGTACAATTCAATTTAAATTTAAAAAGGATAAATTTCATTTTTGGTCCTCAACTTTAATGTTTTACCTAATTTTCATCCTTTAACTTTTTTATGTACTTTTTTAGTCCATTTTTCATTTTTTTTTTAGTCCTTCTATCAATTACTCCGTTAAGTTTGTCTAAATACACACATTTTTAATCCCTTAATTTAAAATGAGTGGACGAAAAATATGCATATATTAGAAGTTGAGAGACTAAAAATGATCATTTTAAATTTGTTTTCAATTTATAGGAATATAATAGTTTTAAACATTAATATCTCTTATTTTATTTTAAAATTTGATATTTAATTTATAAAAATATATATTTATAGCGATAAATTTGAAACGGTACGCGAAAAATTTTGGTATCCAATACGTACCGTTCCAATAACAAAACCGGTACGCATGTCAGTACGGTATTGACAACTTTGAAGACTCCGCATGGTCCAAGAGAATTACTTTTCAACAAATAAACTTTAAATGCTTTACAATTAAGTCCAAAATCAAAGAGTAAGAAACTTTAATTAAGCTTAAAATAACAAACTAAATTTACAAGTTTATTTGAACAATCAGAATTGAAGAAACTTTAATTAAAAAAACTAAAAAAAACAAACTAAAATAAAATCTAAGGTATTTGATTTGACCATAACTAATCCACATAGATCTTAGATCATTATGCTTTTATTTGACCATAACTAATCCACATAGATCTTAGATCATTATGCTTTTATTTGACCATAACTAATCCACATAGATCTTAGATCATTATGCTTTTAAGATATTTATTACTCATGTAATAGTAGGATTTCCTATTTTATTCAATATATTTTCTCAATTTAAACTAAACACATCTTCATTTATTAATCTACTATATCTCTATATGAATTTAAGTAGTTAAAAATGCATTATATTTTGTGAAATTTCATTTTTTATGTAGAAACTTTTGAATCCACTTATCATTAATGCTACATAAATCACATTGTTACATTTCTATCTTTCGTTCTATTCATAATATGTCTTAATTGTATAAAAAACTGCTATAACAACAAAATTCCCCTTAAAATTCACATTGAGGTTAAAAAAACCATCAATAAATACACATTGGACTTTGAAAAAATCCTAAATAAATATCAAATGGGCTAAATACCCAATTAATTATAGGAATCAATAGAATAGGAAATAAATCTAAAATACTATATTATAGAATAAGAAATAAACCTCAATAAATTTAGTGTGGGTCCCGTAGGTAAGCTTCTATGCATATACAATATACTATATAATTATAATTATACATACCACAATTAATGTTAGGGTTTAGATCCCACACAAGTAAGTTTCTAACCATAATCTATTATATATATAATATATATAATGCTACCCTTTGCATTAAATAGGGTATGCAATTATATATATATATAATATAATAATATTATATAATATATTTTTATTTATTATTTATTATTTAATTTATCTTATAATTATATACTAATTAATTTTTCAGTAGTAACTAAAGAATAAATTATATAAATAAATCTATTTAATAATATCAATTCAACATTTTCATCTTCTCATTTTCTTTGTCATCTACTTCTTATCTTTATATTCTTAATTATTTTATCATTATTAGTTGGTTAAATACCCTTTTTGGTCCCTCTACTATAGGAAAAAGCCATTTTTTGGTTCCTGTACCAAAAAAATTCCCTTTTTGGTCCTTACTGTTCATAAATCCGGCCCCTTTTTAGTCTTTCCGTTAAATTTTGGCTGATGTGGCACGTTAATTAATGGAAACACTCATTCCTTTTTTTATTAAATTACGTGAAAAATCCACGTGGCAAAATTGATGACATGCTAAATTTTTTTATTTTTAATTACTGATATACCCTCATCTTCTTCCCCGGCTTCTCCTTCCTCCAGCCTTTTTTTTTTCTTTTTT